TCCGGATAAATCATAAAAGAAAATTAGAGCTACTGATGAATAACGATATATACAAAATATACACCAACCAAGATACGAGTTCCAAATCACACGGAAACAAAACAAATTGCAAAATTTGGCAATAGCACATAATTGGTCAAGAGTGAATGGACCGCCCCGCTCATACATTTCTTCTTCGTCAAGGATTCTAAAATGAGGAATCAAATAATTATTTGACAGTTCTAGTCTGTGTTTATTCAAAAATTGCAAGATGATAGCATCTTCAATCGCTTTCCCAATGTTATGAGATATTGTCCTATTAAACTTACGAAATGACCGAAGTAGCACAATTAGCAAATAGGATAATTGGGGCAAGATGAGTAATTTTTGATGAATGCGAAGTGACCAGTGCAATTATATGAGATAATCCATTGTCAGTCGGCGATAAGTTAACAATATGTTCCCATAAAAGTGGAAGAAGGAAGTCTTCTCGGCACAAACCTAAACTTCACCAAATCAAATTGTGTTTCTGAACCACAAATATCTTCAGAATTTTTTATTCATAATACGCTTACACAAGATGGACATCTTTTGTTATAAATATATTGTCTCATTTTTGCATAAATTTTATTGATTCCAATAAAACTTTTACCAGACAATATATCGGTATGCAGTGAATTTAATGTAAGTAAAGCATTTTGATAAAGCTGGCATACAACTGCAGTCATTGATAACGTCGGCAGTTTTTGGGAGATCTCATTTTCTTGCGTTTCTGCACGAATTATATTCAATTTTTTCCAAAGTTCTGAACAATTATATTCTTCAATTCAGTACGTAAATAACTATTTGATAAACTGAATCTACTCACGATTTCACACAATAAAGCACTTTACTTTGAATTGATGTCGCAAGATCATTTTGTACGACAGCTGATGATTGGGATGTACGATATGACTGCTTTTCCGGATCGCAATGTAATACTTGACCAAATAAGCACGCTACTATTGGTTTTGACCACAAATACTGCAGCTGACGTACAACAAGAGGCACAGAACCTTCCGTGCTGCAATTCATTTCATTTATTGAACTTTTGAAAATTAAATATTTTTTAATTATACGATTATACAACGAGCTCCACCATCAAAAAAATGAAGTATAAAGTCATACAAATTCAGACTAAAGGAATCAGCAACCCAAATTTTAAAACACCTTCGGTCCAGTGGCTCCGAATACCATCCAAAGATAGGATGCCAGTGGCTACGACTGCTTTTCTTCTTTGCAACAAGCCGATCACATCTTGTCAACATTTTATTCATCACATCTGTCCAATCAATCAAATATTCCACTAAGCTCTGAAAAATTATTAAATAAAAATAAACTACAAAACAATATATGAAAAAGTATTTTCTGTATTGGACAATGAAACAAAACATTTTTGGTAATAGCTTCTCTGTTAAATACTATGGATATATTTATCACAATGAGTACAATACTCAATTTTTCAACGATTAAATACCATATCGACATAAGACAAAAAATAAGATCTAGTACTACGACAATAATTATTAGGAAACAGTAACTACTAATCGTTTCGTAGAAGAGCGCAATACTGTCAATGATTTTCAAGAAAACATACGTGCTGATCAAGATAGCTCAAATGGATTAGATTGGCAAGTAAAAATAAGCTTCTATTACCACCCAAATTATTCGGCAGATCTAGATTCGTCGTTAGAACAGTTATGGCCTTCTCAAACATTTTATTCTCCACCAGCAAATCAATATTCTGTAAGAATTTTTTTAAATCATTTTAAACAGTAAAACCGTTAGTATACTAGCTTAGTATACTTCAAATAAAGCGGACGTACAGCTGCAGAGAGATGAGTGAGTAAAGCCGGAGAAGTAAGGCAATATTCCACAAATAAACTGAATATATGAAAATCGAAATCACAGTTTTTCAGTATTCTGAAAAAATAAGACCTGACTTTTTTATCCACAAAATGGTGGTACAGACACAGAAAATGAAATAATATACTACCTGAACAATATATTGAAGAGCCCATTAAAGGCACTAGCACCGAGCGCAAGTCTTCCACTCGATATTATTCTGTTCAGTAGTTGCTTAAAAGTAATTTAAGATAATGTTTGATTAAGAGAAAAATCAAAGACCTCATAAAGTTTCATGACAATGGGAAGAAATCTAAAAATTAAATATCAATTTCTTCATAGCTCCAAATTTTCTATCATACGAAAATTTTGACGAACCGAAAATTGAATGTATCGTAACTCTTCACCAATTGTTGCATTGAGAGCTTTATTACCTAACTGATTTAAAACGCAGCAAATTTCGGCATTATTCTGCACAAAAGCCCAACTATTAGCGCTTGAAAATGTGATTAAAAAATGGATAAACAATGATATTGCTTTTCCATCTGATATCTTTTCAACCTGAAATGCATAACAAATTAAATAACTTAACTGTCTTTTTTAAATTACTTTCATCAAAACATAGGCCAATAAATGATGATTTATTTAAAAGGAGTCCAGGGAAACGAATTGTATGGTATTTACAGTTTGAAAATTACAATTTTCTCATGTAGACAGAACTGTGTCATTACCAGTGATTACAAAGAGATTTATGCATGAAGCATTCGACAGTAAATAAGCACGTGAGGAATTCTCAAACCTGACCTGAAGTTTTTCAGTGACCAAAGCGATCAATGAGTATACAGAGATAATGAAGCGATTCGCTGCTTGAAGATGGTTTTTGGATAACAAAAGAGAAGCAAATGATTTATGAACATTATATGACGACATGCTTAATATCATACAACGACACAACTGACAAAGCCGCTAAAAACAAGCTCAATTTGAAAACAAATAACTCAATAACGTATATTTGGTTCATAAATCTGATGCAGAAAAAGTAGCTGCTGAGAAAATCAATGTAACGAAGTAGAACAAATTTCTCACAAGTAGGAAAGTGTGAGGTCAAATAAAGTGTATCACAGCAAGTGCAATAAATTATACGTCAAATTATCATCTTCTTAAATTTATCCGCAGCTAAGAAGTGAAATATCGACGATGGAATTTCATCATGAAAGCATTAGATCTTGTCAATTTGTCAAAGTTAAATGTAAAATTAAATCTCAACAATAATCAAAAGTTTACCTGGTTATCGCATGATTGTTCAAAAATCCGAACGAGTAGCCGACCTAACCGCAACACATCCTTGCAATCAGCTGGCTCTTTTTCTTTCTCCATATTTACAAAAGCACCGAATAGATGATCAAAATTTCTTCTGAAAAATATAATCGCAAGTTTCCAATTATTTTTGCATCCATATCTAGCTATATCCAAAAATCAAGTTCTAAAAATTTTCAACAAGCCTTTCATATGCATATTGATTGATCTAGCTTAACTTACTTTTTAACAAAACATACTGAAAAACTTTAAATTGCATAGCAAATAAGTGGAAATTCATTCTTTTATGATTATAACATCGTATCATATACGCCGCAAAGTGATTAATAATGATGTAACAAAGTAATTATTTATCAAGGATTGGTGATAAAATTATTATGCACCTCACTGAACTAGCAAATCTTTTCCTCGCCAGTATACCTCTTCCCATAGCTTGCAATAAAACCACATTTTTTGTTTGGGTCTTCAACCACCCTCGTTTTTGCTGCTCATTTGTTATGCCTTCAATGAAAAGTTCTCGTTTGTCAGCTTCCATTTCACTCATGCAATTAACATTTTATCTACAATTAAGTTCATGTAAATTATAAAGAATCTCATTACATTCTTCATATTGAAGTGAAATATTCCAGAATATGGCTTATTTATAAAGAGATTAAGGCCAATGATAAATTACTGACCTAGTCACTAACACAAAAAAGATGTTAGTGGCTAAGTCAAGATTCAAAGAATGAAGAACATTTTTACTTGAAACTCATTACAAAACTCACAAACTCACTACAAACTCACTACAACTCACTCAAGCAGAATAGAAATCCAAATCGATGTGCTTTAACTGATGCATTATATACTTTAATTTTTGAAATGTAAGAAATATGTGATAACATATACTGTGTTAACAGCGAAAAAATGTTGAAGAAATAATTTATTCATTTAGAAATTAGACAACATGTAAAAAGTAAAACTAGGTGCTGCATACAATAAATGCATAATTCCGATAAAAAGAAATAATATTAGCCGTATAATGGTGAAAAGACATAACATGATTATGACTAGAGATAACTGACTGAAAGCAAAAAAAGGCTTTAAAGCTTATCAACAACAAACAATTAACAATGATGGCAACAAAAAAGGCAACAGACTTGATATTCAAGTCGAAGATTTAAAAAAGGCAAGAAATTAGATGGAAAAAAAAGGGAATAAAGAAATTTCTGTTTGGCTGCAGTAATTCCGTTTTTTTAAAAAGCAACAATTTGAAAGAATGAATATGAAAAGCAACATTAAAAGATTGGCTATATATGCCTTCAAATTTGCTTTAAAATTTCAGTAACACACGGAGTATAGTAAATTTTAGTTACTAAACTATTTTAATAATACTCTAGTAACTTTTACCAATTTGATGGAAAGTATCAATCCCCATTAATTTTATTTATCATATACCCAATAGAACTCATATTTTTGTCGATTACGTTGGCTAAAACTACGAGTTACTCCCACTGTAGCACATGAAATATGTTTTCACTCTAATTAATAGAATCCAAACGCAACTAAATTAGCGGTAGATTAAACAATCTTATTTTTTGGAAGAGGCTGATGCACAAAAATGCCATATGGGACTAGGCTATTCTAAATATAATGCATCGAAAATTTTAGAATGCAATAAATATCCTTTGAATATAACTTTCACAGGTTTTAATTATTTTCTTTTAACCAAATGTGCTTATGTATCAATTATGTTGAGAGAAATACTGCAATTCAATAGATATGCTTTGCACAAAAATAGTGAAAGCACTTGATTTTGTCGGCTAAACATGGCATGAAGTTTAAACCGTGGTAGTAGCATGTGTTGGAACCTTATGCACAAGAGGTACAGATTCAGTGGTATCGTCTTCGTGTTCCCGACGACTACCTCCTTTCTGATGAATCGATTGTTTCGCTGTATTCATTACGATTGGTTGTGTTTTTTCGTCTACAAATATAAAAACAATAAAAAGAACGACAAATGCATATATTCAGCTACCGTCTGCTTGATGTTGCTTAAAAGATACCCAAGTTGACGGCATTCTGAGCCTCGTTACACTAGCTAAAAATGATACATAATTTTTTCAAAAACATTAACTTTCAATCAACCAAACGCATAAATCCGAGATGGCAAGTCGCCATACACCATACGATTTGAAGTAAAGAATAATATAAATATAAAAATATTTTCGGACGAAAATATCAACGGATGACCTGGTGAATGTTCAGCAGATAAAGTCGATTTTCGCATTTTCCTTCTTGCAGCGATTAAATCAATTTGTCGCTTCGTACGGGGTATTCGGATTCGCATGAAGCAACAAACGATCACCACTGAAATTCAAAACAGTAAGGAGTCTACAACATAAATCAAATAGAAACATTTTTGTGGAATACCATTATCGAGAAGAAAATGCCGCATTATTTCGATGTCAACGCATTATATCAGTTCAAGACTGCAGTATTTTCCTCTCGACAATAGTATTTCACAAAAATGTATCAACATTCTATTTAGATCAGCTATTAATAATGTTATCTCTCACCTCGATTAATCCATCTTCATCTAACATTTGGCTAGTCACAAAAACACAAAACTTGAATTATCGTTTCGGATACAATCAATGATCAAAAGTAAAAAAGAAGTATATACAAACAAATAAAAATATACCCATAATTAGTAATACTCCAGACACCAGAGCGACAAGCATCCAAAGTCGCAAACCAGGAGCAACATAACGGTCTAAAGCAGCCATACTTCCTTCATTATTGTTAATTCCATTAAGCGTCATCCTTGAAGTTTCCATACAATAAATTAAGCGGATTTTATTTTTAAATTTTAAAGATCAAATTAAATGAATAGATGCTTCTTACCCGAAGCAAACGCATTTAATTACATCAAAGAAAAAACCAATGATGTTGATGTTGACTTTAATATGTAAAACTTAAAACAACCAAGTTTATCACAATAACAAATAGTCATAATCGAGAATTCCTCCCAAGCTACCACAAGCACAGTTCCAAAGTGTCACAAATATTTAACACTTCAACTTTTTTCAAATCTGCTCGACTTACACAAAAATCACTCAAATAAAAACTACTGAAAACTATAAACTTCTTTGATCTTCCACCAACAATTCGTCAGATTGAACCGAAACATTTGCATTTTGGGCGTGAAAAGTTGACACATTAATAGAGCAGCGTTTGAAAGTTCAGTGGTATCTTGAAATTGCAATTTCCCTGTTGACTTTGTAGCGGTTATTTTGCCTGCACTTTTGACCTTTAACCTTTGCCTAATATTTTTACTTAAAATGGCAACCAGAAGTGGTAAGGTACAGAAGGTGATGGTTCAACCCATCAATTTGATTTTCCGATATTTGCAAAATCGATCACGCATACAAATATGGCTCTACGAGGATATCACTCACAGGATCGAAGGATATATCATTGGTAATTTATTTATTGATTGCCTTTCTTCTGAGGAATATTTGGATTTTCTGAATTCTTATTTTCCTTTTCTTTTTCTAAGATATTCAAAGGACATCGAATATTGCATTAATTTCTCCTTCGCATTTGTGATATATGTGACAGTCATGAGATTATTACCTATTTTTAAGTTAGATATAGTAGGGGGACCTGGAAATTTCTGTATCATTGTTATTATACTAGTTATTTAGGTGATAATTTCACATGCACATTGTACATACAGTATTATACTAAGTGTAGACTTCATTACAATAACAGTTGATCTTTAGAGTTCTACTTATGTTCTAGATATGTGTTTAACTGTATGTACAATCAAAGAGGATTATCTAATATTTAATATTTCCTTTTTCAAAAATTTGAGATTAAAATTGTTTTTTGTGTAAGAGCGAGAGAAACGTATAATTCTTACATATTTTTATTCAGGTTTTGATGAATATATGAACGTTGTGCTTGATGAAGCAGAAGAAGTAAATATGAAGACGAAAAATCGCAATAAGGTTGGTCGAATCATGCTGAAAGGTGATAATATCACATTGATTCAAAGCATTGGTTAAGTGATTTCGTTGTTGCTTTTGTAATTCATAATTTTTATTCCGTTTTATTGTTTGCTAAACTGCTTATATGTTATAAGAGAATTTTATTGTTGAATTCAAGATTTTTGAATTATTGTTGAGTAAACAAATTATGTTTTATTTTAAAATTAAAATTCAAAACGTAATGAATAATCAAAGTAGATTTTTTGGAATTTTTTTACAATTTGGAGGGGTTTTAAATTCTCGTCAAATAGAGTGGTTCACACGAATTGGAACTTATGAAAGTTGCTGTAATACAAATCATATTGAATTATGTTGACCATCAATGATAAAATTTAATGTAGTTTGAATTGAAAAACATTTTGCGATTCAGTTCTCGCTTATTGGAAAATTCTTATATCTACTGTAATGAATTAGATGCACAGCAGTGAAGCTATGTCGTAAGAAAATTGTAAGACCTTCATGGATCAATGTATTAGGCAACTCTAATGCATATTTGTAGTTTGATACGCAAAAATGAATACATGCCATGACATATTCATGAAGTGTATTCATTTTCTGAGAATACCTGGCCAGCTTTAGACTACTGATGAGGATGAATTCAGACGGTGTGACACTAACATTTTTGGGACTGGAATTCACTGTATGATGCATGATAGAATCTTTTCAAATTGTAGTTTTCAATTCTGTAGTTTTCAAAATAGATCCTCGAAATCAAAGTTCTTTGTTAATTTGAAAAGCAAAAAGGAATGAATAAGATACTCTGTATTTGAGGATAGCGCTCTATTATATCTCACTTTATTAATGACGGAACCAGAAATCAGATTTAAATCCCGATTTGTTGCAAAGTGTTTTTGCAAGCAGAATTCATTGTTATTCACATTTGAACCAAGTAAAGTAATTGCGTCCTTTTTTTTATTGATAAGTTAGTATCATCATAACTTTCTTATTATCATATACAAGAGTTGCTATTGAAGGATTTAACTTGACACAATTTAACTCTTTCTCAACGTCTTCATGAGGCATTTAAACTTCCTATTTCTTTTGTTTGTATTAATTGGTTGACTCAATCACCCAATGGAATTTAAATTCATTGTTCGAGTTTGTGAATCTTTCTACTGATAAGTTGATTCTATTCCAGATGTTACCTTTAATAATTATTATTACTGTTTCGACAGTTGCTGCAACACAACAGCAAAAAGGCTTACAGAGACGTGTTCAGTCATTCTTCGAAACTCCAGGACACACCAATAACTGGGCAATATTAGTTTGTACATCACGGTTTTGGTTTAATTACCGTCATGTTGCTAATGTTTTGTCATTATACCATTCAGTAAAAAGACTTGGAATTCCTGATAGGTTGGTGTTTTGTTACTTCCTTTTAAACTTTTAAACTCTTTTGCATGATATGTTCCCAATGATTAGTGATGATATAAAAATGCGAAAGGAATAGTTAAAAAGTTAACTGCTTCATCTTCATCACATATTAGTTTTTTTCCCACCTAGCGAAATCGTTAGCGAAAATTTTGTAGCTTATACTGTTTACTGAGAGTAAAGAATGAAGAGTTCTCTTTTATTCCTTTTTGCATCTTTTATATGGCATGTAATCGATGGGATTTCACTTTTAATGGAATTTCAATTTATGCCATTGTAGAGGAAAAATTAGAAGAGAAGAAGACAGCACTAAAGGTGAACGGTACAATAACTCAAGTTTAGAAATTTGGGTATATTTTTTTCTTCTTGAATTGAAAATTTGGGCACACATCTCTTTTGAAATATAACTTCAGAGTTTTCATTCCAGCAATATTATACTTATGTTAGCTGATGACATGCCATGCAACGCCAGGAATCCGAAACCTGGTTAGCATCTTTAATTTACTGATTCATTCATTTTGACTTTTAGTAGTTAGTCAATTCTTCGAGATATTAGATTGATGTTTTAAGGTACAGTATACAACAGTAAATATGAACGTATCAATCTGTATGGTGTTGAAGTTGAAGTGGACTACCGTGGGTATGAGGTACAAAATTCACTTTTCGTTTCAGTTTTTCATGTTGAGTAAAATCTATGAAGTATCTTAAAATTTAATCTGCTATTTCAGGTATCAGTTGAAAATTTCGTGCGTCTTATGACGGGAAGAGTCCATCCAGCTACACCACGCTCGAAACGTCTTCTTTCAGATCACCAAAGTAATGTCCTGATTTACCTTACTGGACATGGTGGTGATGGCTTCTTGAAATTCCAGGATTCTGAAGAACTGACCAATGTTGATTTGGCAGACGCCATCGAAACTATGTATCAAGGCAATAGGTCCACTTTTTGGAACACAATATTTTGGGGAAAATTTTCTCGATATATTGTTTAAAAAGTGTTGAGGACAAATGATATTGAGGAGGTTATAGTGCTAGCTTGGTGAGGAAAGGGTAATTGGTCAACATCAATATTATAGATATAATGAAATGCTTGTGATAGCAGACACGTGTCAAAGTGAATCGATGTATCAAAAAATATACAGCCCAAATGTACTTGCAACAAGCAGCTCTCTCGTGGGCGAGGATTCCCTTTCATATGATGTTGATCAGTAAGTTCGAATTTCACTCTTTATTGTAAATTGTATTTTCTTAGTTTTTCCTTTATCTAATTAGCAAGACCTGGAGAAATTCTTTTTTCAAATCAATCAGAGACAGTTTGTTCTTTAGCCGTTAATGTTTTAGATCTATTGGTGTATACATCATAGATCGATATACGCAATTCACGCTTGAATTTCTTGAAAATGAGGTCAAGTCGTTATTGACAAACAGATCTATGAGTGATTACTTTGATTCTTGTCCAAAGTCGAAATGTCTTTCAACAGTTGGTGTACGTACGGATTTATATCCGAAAGTATGTACTTTCTTATGGTTCATTACTTTAATAAATTCCAATACAAAAAATGTTCTGGTCGCTAAGCCAATGATGAGTACTGGACTAGTTTAGATTTAATTGAGACATGCATCTCGCACATATATAAAATTTTGTTGGTGTATTTTTATTTTTTATATTCTGTGAAGTTCGACTGATTCAAAAATATTATTTGGAAATAAGATATAGTTCAGGATCCGACGAAAGTTCGAGTAACTGACTTTTTTGGCTCATCAAGGATAATTCGTATAATCACCGAAAAAATTGAATTTGATGATGCATGGCTTGACGTACCCCCGTACTACGGGAAATCTGTAGACAGTGATGATATTTGACAGGAAAGTACTTTGTGAGTTGTTTGTGATTATCTGTAATTTCATTTGGAGCTGATCTCAACTTTACGAATTACGTTCGAAGTGCTTCTTATATATCTGTTTACGTTCATATGGACTTTTGCGTTACCTTGAAGCATTTGTAATTATGAAGGTAAACTAAAGTAAAAATTTCAAAGAAAAATATGAAGTGCCTAAAGTTCATCAAAAGTTTTATTGTGACGCATTAATCGCATGCATAGCTGGTAAAGTAGCATTGTTTAAGTAAATATTGGTTGAACATTTACTAATTTCTTTTCTACAATAATATCCATCTACACAATACTTTCCTTCCTTTTTGATCTGCTTTCTGATAGCGTTTTTGATGTTTCTACGGGATTTTCGATGAAATTTATTGACGATTCATAGAATTGTTTGATACAGAAAGGCATTATTTCATTGTCCCATCTATAAGTCCAGGAATCAATGGCCTGAAAAACTGATAAAGTTTTACTTAAATTAATATCAAAACGTTTACGAAGTTTAGCATCTACCTCAGAATGCGTTGTATGCGGATATTTTAACCAAACATTCCACATAACATTTGTTTTCTGTAATATATTTTTATATGAATTTAATAAAATTCTGGTATTACGAAAATCTAGCTGTCGGCGAAAGCCGAAAAATGTAATAAATTTGTATAAACAACCGAATGACCACTAGTCAACCACTAGTTTTATTTATTATATGTATAAATGTTTTGCTATCAGCCTTGTCCCTTTCGTATGTCTGGACGATTTACATATCCTTTGTTCATCCATTAAATGACTTGATTTCTTTGTTCAAATAGCAAATTCCACTACATCATGTGCCCACCAAGCACTGTCCAATAAGGGGGTATAGGGGTATATATATATATATATAACTCATTGCTTTTGGAGTCAGTCCAAGGTGCATTTCAATAGTCACATCCATCACTGAGCTCCGCGATTACTTACTGATCGTGGGTGAGAGTCAACCAATTCTTTATCAGATCCCATTCAAACTTAAAAACGATTATTTCAATCTCAATAATCAAAAAATCTTCGTCATTGTAATTGCCATATCGTATTACTAACTGCTTTTTTTGCTAACTTCTTTGGAGAATAAATCTTCGTAACAATCTTTGCTTGTGAAGTGAAAACTAATCAAAGTTTTTCACGACACTAGCGGCAGTATAGTGTCCAGTTTGTTTTTCTGAATGGATCAATTCATTCATATAATTATCCTCTTTGATTTTCAAAATCTATGAACTTGATTTTTGCGCTTTGTCTGTAATGCATGTACGAACCTGCAATATCAGTCGTCGAGTTGCAGGTTTGAAATCGCCCTCACAAAGATGTGTCCGTAATGCAACGATAAAATTATCACATTTGCCAGGTCTGATCTTCAGTAATGTGTTGCCATGACTCGTGATTAGTTCTGCAGCAGTCTGAAATTTTGCTTGTTTTCGTTATAAGTAAAAGTTCAGTATTTTTTAATGTACAATAATTGAATTCACTTTCTACAATTATCAAATAATGTAACATACCTCAATATCTCTTTCGTCCGGATCATCGTTAATTAGTTCTTCCAATGAAGTAAACATTGGGTCAACTAAGCATTCACTTACTGTTGCATCGATTTCTCGATACACAGGGTAAAAGTCTAATATCGCTCGAACAATATTTCTGCAATTAATTTACTTCTGCTTTCTGAGAAAATTGTTGACTAACTGATGAACAATTAATGTTAGAAAACTTAACTGAAAACGAGTTTATTCCCTTTCCTGATTTGATGCCTGAATCGAAAATCTAATAAAATATGTGTCAAGCAGCAGGAGAATAAACCAAGATCTGTCTCATGCATCTAAAAATAAACTTTTTTTTATTCCGAATGAGTTTTAGGGAAAGAGAAAAAATATTCAATAACGTCGTGCTTCTCTCTTAGCGATAATCAATTTTATATCTTGTTTTAATTTATAACATAAATTAATTGAAATCCAAATTTTTATGAGTGAAGGAATTACATGCTGGCGCTGCAAAATGATATGTGCAGCAATTCTTGTGAAATTTTGCTCCGATAGCCAACGCTGATGTAAATGATAAGCCAGTTTCTTGCATGGTGCTGAACTGACCAGTACACTGATTGTATTCACTGCAACAAATTCTCAACTAATTATTTTTTCAAATAAAATTATCTTCTATTTAATGTTATTTAAAATTTAAGAAATTATTAAAATGAAGTAAAATCAGTGATGTGTTTGGAAATTAGGAAATTTTTCAGTTGCTAGCATCAAGAGTAAGAACTTCCAATTATAACTTTTAACTTCAATTCTGGAAGTATAACTGTAAATATGATCTGCCTCTCTCTACTTTATCTAATACTCCAACAAACATGACTCCGATATTTTCCGGTCCGGAACTTGGGCCATATTACTCATATGTGAGATCATATATTGAAGAATAATTTGATATCTGGTCTACAAACATCTGACTTAAAAATTATAAGGAAAAATCATTCTAAAATATAATCATGAATATTTTTGTCTTCCGTTTTTAATGCCAAAGCGTTTATCTATATCTTGCAGGATAGATATTGACTGATAGAAAAAAATAATGATTTTAAATTATTCAAATTTATATGAAATAGATTATAATCAATAATAATCCTGAAATAGATAAGAAAGAATTACATGGAATAGATCCTTCTTTTGATAGAATACATAGGGAAGAGATAAGCTGACGCAGCTGTTCCTCATCCATTCGATCCAGAAAAACATTTCAAACTATATGGTTGATTCTGTTTTCCTTCAGTCTCTCATTTCTTTTCTTTTTCCTTCTCGTTGTTCACTTATCCTGTCTTATCACTTCTCTTTTTTGTAAAATGATTGAAATGTAAACAATGAGTGGGAATTTATCACATTTTAGCATCGATATAGCATATTGGCCCCAAATGATTTCATAAATGCCACAAAATAGTATTTATATTCACCTACTAGTTCGTTATTGATAAAAGCGTCTCAATACAACAAAATTTTAACGCTCAATTTTCTAAAAACTCATCCGTTTGTTAGAAGTTAACATTGTTCCTTTTTTTGAAGAAAGTAAAAAGTTTATACACTTTAATTGGGAAATACAATGAAAACGATTTTGAACAATAATGATGAAAATGTATGAATTTTTCAGATTAATGCAAAAGAAAAAAATTCAACTTATCAATGCTGCAAAAAAATGATTGAAAAAAAATGGATTTGTTCAATTAATTTGTTCAATTAATGTTACTTGTTATTTTAAATTAATAATTTTGAATTATAAATAAACATGCAGTTGAAAATCAAAAGAAAAAAATTACAGATAACAATGAAAAATTAATAGCTAAGAAAGGATTGCTTTTTGCAAAAATAATTTTTTATTTTATCTTCTGATTTGTTCCAAATTTTAATTATATTTATGATAGAAAATTTTGTGCTAATTTATGATTAATTATGTGCATTATTCTTAGCAGCATCTGTAAAAACTGTTGTAACACAGGAAGCCACATCTTTCATGTAACAGGAATAGTAAATAATCCTAATAGAATTCTTTATCAAAGAATAATGATAAATTGATAAGCATAAAGGCTAACTAATATGAAGAATGACGTTGATAAAAGTTGAAAACTTTTTTCATCTGAGATTAATGACTCAGATGGAAAAAGTCTTGATTGCACTTACAGAGTTTAACAACTGCTATGAAAAGAACGTTGTTTTTTAGTTTGTAAATAATTCATACAAGAAAGAAAATTGATGGCTTTTCTTGTTCGAATAGTAACGCACTTTGACAGTCTAATAAATTCTTTTTTTCTGAATTTTTAAAGCATTTTTAATAAAAGTTATTTGTTTCATAAATATTTGCAGTTTCAACAGTATGTTGCTAACGAAGAAATTGTTACATAATGAAATAAATAAAAATTCCAATGCGAAACAAAATTTTTTTAGCTTCACAAATTTGGCAACATTTAGTGCAGTAGCTGTGTGTGTAAAAGACCGTCGCTATCATTTGCTGTTCTATGAGAGCTACCAGAAATGAGATGTGTCAGGAAAATTGTCAATTTTCACTACAATTCGGGAATGTAGTTGGAAAGAAATCAGATTTTAACGCGAACAGATCGAGCAAAAAATAACCGACAGATACCAATCGTCAATTTAATATAATCGGAATTGGAGGTTTCATTGTTGTGATATTTCATGAAAGCAATGTCGATATTTCTCCCAGAGAAACTGGCAAAGAAGAGCTCAAAAGAAAGCTTTTAAAATAGATTTGACTTATTCTCATACATCTTTATTAGTTTTTCATTAGTTTAATTTCTAATTTAGTTAAATTTGAATTGCTCATCATAATTGTCAGCTAGGCTGAAATTCCTGAAATTATTTTTTACAAATGATTATTTTGCCAACAATAAGTAAGTTTGTGAATATGATAAAAGATAAATGTTAAAATTGCTGCATTCAAAAACATGAAAAATCTAAGAAAAGTTTATTAAAAAATATCGAAATGAATGAAGAGACTTTACAATGTCTGCCACTTTAATTTTATTGTATTTGAGGTAAATATCGAATTAAATTGAACAGAAAGAACAAAGATGACAGAGTATCGGAATTTAAAATTGAAATTAGTGGACATTTGCCGATATACTGTTCCGGAAGCGATGAACTGATAGCAAATATTGTTATTAAAATATGAATGCTCTGTGAAGAAACTTTTCCCACGTTAACAATGAAGAAATGAATGGATTTTGAGCGATAAGTAGAAAATGTCAAGTTTATAAGTTTCGAATTAATCGATTTCAGATTAAATCGAATTCTTTTTATCTGAGTGTTTTTACTAAGCCGATATTACTTGGTAATTTCATTCAATCAATGCTAATTTGACCTGATACTTAGTTCATATTTAAAATGTCCTGCTCATCTCTTCATGGTTCTAATTAAACTGAGTTCGAAAATTGAGTCGAAATACTTACGATAGCAGCTGAAAACAACAATAGTTACCGATTGTGCATTCATTACAATCTCATTTTTCGATCCTTCTGTTGACCCTTCAAATAACCAAACAATTGTTTGCAGTATTTGTTGACATTGAAAGTGGACAGAATTATATTTCAGCTAATGTTAGTACTGAAATTGAAATATTAGTTTTATCATTTCAATTTTCAAATTAACGGTTAATTACAAGTAAAATTGTAATGCGTAAAAAAAAAGGCAAATGATATAATTCTGTACTATTCCATGTGACAGTAATATTATAATTTGCTTGGGGAAAGTAAGCAAACAATCGAAGAAAAGTAAAAAATCAAAGGCAGTTATTAAAAGATAAATCGGAAATACTGGAATGTCTCTTCCAGCATCCTCCAAATTCCTATACTCATTTCCTTCCACAGTAAACCGTTTTCAAGCCTCTGATCTGATTCCGAGAAAAATGATTTCTTGTTCATAATGACATAAACTGCCAGATATTAATGTATCAATATGTACTTGTATTTATTCTATCTATATTCACATTTATTCTATTTATATTCACATAAAAGCAAAAGTTGAAGCCTCAGAACACATTTTCATGTTTGTATATGTAATTTTAGCAGATATTTTGATAATAAAGAAATATTTTTTCATATATTTTGATAACAATGAAATGAATTTCTGATAATAATGGAAGAAATAACAATATCAAAAACAGACTGAAATTTTTTATCCATAATATGATCTTTTACTTTTCAAAATCTTAAATGGCTCATTATCCTCATTTGGATTACTTAGTTATTTTTTTTCCGCCTTGTTAAAACTCTGATTGAAGAGTAAATCGATATTGCCATTCTTGGACAGAACCTTCCGTCTTAGAGCATTTTCCCATTTTTCATAGTTACAAGCAATCACATATTACCAAACTTCTCTTCAAAAAGATCATCCTATCATAAATTTGTGTCAGATC